TCCGAGACGTTCGATGTCCACTTCGATCACTGCCCATGGGTCTGACGTCTGAAAGCAATCTATTCGTTTCCGAGCGCTACTAAAGAGTTTTTTACTGACGGCTTAGCTATTAGCTGAGACATTAGCCGACTCGCGCTTTATGACCTCTATGGATCCCCCGCGCGGAGAGACTTAGACCCGTTGACACGCTCATCACTGACTTCATTATTCATAGGATGCTCTTCTCAACATAACTGCGCAGATGAGCCGCCATTCTGATCCTCAGAGGAAAAGAAATCTGACCTGGAGAAGCCATTGGCAGAAAGTGATTTTGGAACGAGGTGAAGGATAGGTGGACAGGGCGACGACTCCATCGCCCTCAACGTCGATCACTCCACAGGAACTGTCAGTAAATGAGGCTTGCTTGGCGAGTTGTTCACATCTAAATTTGTCAAATAGGCTTTTATATAAAAAGAAAGGTAAAGATAGAGACGTTCAAGGGACAGACCTTGAGCCGGAGAATCCGTACGCGCATTTGCAAGTGCAATCATCTTGAACGGTCCCGCTGTGTTGGCATTCGATGGTACATTTCTCTGGAAGGAATAATCTTTGACGGCGGCGAAGGCGATGGGTCCATTATCACGCGCATTCCCACACATCACTTCAGCTGCGAGCGATTCGGCCCAGATAATTGGCAGATATGCAATCGCTTGCTGCCAGATCGCAAGTACCCCCAACTAGTATAGATGAGGTTCGGCATATCCGGCCCAGTACTCAATCCTAAACGCCATCGTAATTGCCGTGGCCAGATCGCTGCCGGTAAACGGCAGTGCTGGGAGTCGATATATGTCGTTGGAGCCCCATCCATCTTCCAGCAAAGGCAAGCCCGGCTTGACAGTGATGGACGATGGATACATGAGACATGACCCACACCTGTTCAAGTCTTTCCCCCACATGGAACGTGTACCTTATCTAAAGCGCAATGAAATCGGAGAGGCAATGTAACGATGGCATTGCGTGAATCATAATCGCCCTACACGACTGGTCTAATAAAGGGTTTCACCATAGGATGACCCAAGCTGAGGAGTCCGGACCTCCCGTTGGCCTTCCCATACGCACAGAGGTCTTCCATATCATCATCAAAGGTGTTGTTCAAACAACGGTGACCTCTGGCCGTCTGGGATTATTCTGAGGATCGCTCAGTTTTGTTGGTTAGAAGCTAAAAATACCCCGTTCGAAAGTCTGTCTACCATTTCTTGAGCTTTCGTTTCTTTCCTTTTAGAGAAGGGTGTGGGTGATTGATGGAATGACGTCGTCCCAGCTCAGTTAGTCCTCTGTCAGCGGTGGCTCGGCCCAACCACTTGAGTATACTTGACCCATGTGGAAGTGGCGGCTTCCTGTGGTGACTCAGGTGTGCTCTCCACAAAAAGAGAGCAGCGAGTTGAGGAGAGAAAGACAGAGGCGTTCGGATTGACGGATGCAGGCCAAAACGAAGACTCTGCCAAACCCTCTGCCCTTCTATTTGCTAATTAATGGATCTAGGGGACGGTAGACGATCATAGGTCAATATCTTAAATTTCAGTTGTGCAAGAGACAGATGCTCGAAGAAATGCACCATACCCATGGTTTGGACAGTTTTTCAAATATCTAAGAATATACTGAGAAAGTGTGACTAACCAGTGCAGTTGTAGTGCAGGTTGAGATGACGAGCGATGTGACTTCTTGGTTTGTCGATGGAGAGAACTCGTCCGATGATTTCGTAACAAAAGTCGTCCTGAACTCAAAAAGGCATTGGCTGTTGGTTGTTCAGGGCCAAATTTCCGCTGAGACCTAAGAAGCATCGGGTCGTGTGCTCGTCTACGGCTGACCTCTACCCGAACTAATCCAGTCCCGGGGTGGCTAATCATTTGTAACAACTTGCAATTAGGGTTGGCTACTAGACATAAGTCCCTCACACATATCCGGTAGAAAAAATTTGTGTCAAAAGGGTCTAATTTCAAGAAACTCACGGAAATGCATTTCGGATTGAGATGAACTGTTCGATTAGATTCTTGCCATGAGCAGTGCCTGCAATTTTTTTTGTTTCAAGAAGAAAAGTTTAGGAAACCATGTTGATTATGGGTAAGACATGGGAAGCTTCTCGGGAAGGTGTATAATATTAGTGTCAAATTGATGGGGGAAGGCGAAATAAGGTTGGAGAGATGTCAATGTTTGCTCAGGTTATTCCTACAACTGATCATGTGCGGCTCGATTGTGAAGACTTCCCTTATTAGAGGTTTTTCTTTGAAATTGGTGGTAATCTCTACGTTGCGCCCTCAAGTGCGTGGGATAGAACTTAACCCTTCCGCTCCTCGGAGCATATCCCCAGTTTTCATTCAATCCATTCGTGGAATAACATAGACAAAGGAGTTGCTCATTGACAAGGGATGACCTGAGATGTCCCAAGAGGCCTGTTTGGAAGCGAACTCACGACTTTGAATCCATACAAAATAAAATCACTGGAAAAACGCTACAGTTTTAGGCTCTCAGTAGTATTTGGAGTACTGGTTAAGCTACAGGATCCGATTAATCGAAAAGAAGAGCTTATCCATCCGCCTGATAAAGAAATCTCAATCGAAATGGGGCGGAAGAGCCGCAAGCAGTAAGTATGTCTCATAGAGCAGAACGCTGAACGGCCAAAATCAGAAGAGGGTCTACAGCGGGCCACAATGAGTCGGTAAAAAAATATCGATGAACCTCAAAAGGATACATTTTGGGCAACTAAAAACATTGTAAGAGAAAAGGAAAAGGGCTTTTTGAGAAACGATGGCCCCAAAACGATGAAGTTATAAATATCGGTGATCAGAAGGTGAAGAAGAGACGAAAGAATTGTTTACCCTGATTGGACAAAGTTGACGAAGGCGTCATGATCGTCTGTTTGCCTGAAGAAGAGGCAGGTCTCATCCATAAGCGCTTCCATCGATCGCTCAATACATTCGTTTACCTCGTTATCTGAAAGGACGTTACCGTAGCCATTTCAGCCATGGACAATACTAGTTCATATGATTTGGAGAAGTTTCCGCCCGCTCTGAAGCCTACTCCTCACCCACAATTCAAGCTATAACAACCCCCATGCACCTAAACCTTATTTCCTCTCTACATAGCCATCAGGGACTGCCCACCTTCGCCTTAAAAATGAAGCCTAACGGAGAGAAGTTTCCGCCCGCTCTGAAGCCTACTCCTCATCCACTATTCAAGTTATAGCAACCCACATGCACCTAAACCTTATTTCCTTTCTGCATGGCCATCAGGGACTGCCCACCTTCGCCTTAAAAATGGAGCCTAACGGAAGTATATTGGCTTTGGAAGGCGCATTTCCGTGCGAGTTTATCGAATAAGAGGACCCCTAGTATTCCGATTTGTAGAGGAGACCTATTCCCTTGGGACCTATAGGCACTCATCACGCCAACGTGTAGGAATTGCCGTGACTAGGGCGAAGGCGATTTGGCAAATTGCATGCGCAAGGTCACTCCAGAAACAATGCGCTTTCCTTCAGTAGAAGAATGCGTAGGCAGACAGGTCCAACAATGGAGGTGTTCTAATAGGGACCATTAGCAAAAAACACAAAAAATTCCCCGTAAAACGGCTCATTCACATAATATTCCCATATGGCATCCAAAAAAACGATATGGAGGTTGTCAAGGTGAAAAGTGATACTACAAGGAAACGACTGCTCCAGGAATATTACCATTCCAAGTATAATTTTCTAGTCCTCTAGAAAAACATGACGCAGAGGTCCTAATGTACAACCGAACGATTGCTTGACTTACCGTTATCATCGTGAAACTGATAATTGATAACGTTAGCGAAGGTGTAATGCGCCTAAATGGGGAGAATGAGCACGATCTTAGGTATCAGGCATAAAGAGCTCAATTATTCAAGTACTTACAAAAAGTAGTAATAAAATGGACCGCATGATGTAGAGGTGCAGAGTGGATAGGTTGCAGTAGCGGGCAACCTCCTCGGGTAACGAGCCTGGTTGCGCGATGGGCGGGGTCAAGCTGAAATTGGGCGGAGTCTCGTGAGAGTGTACGGGGAGGAGAGGACATCTTGAAATGACCCCCGAAGAATTGAGTTAAATGAGGCGGACACGGAGAGCGTATTCGCGGTTTTTGTCGAAGATAGTGAGTAACGCAGCGAAATTTCCAGATGACCAACTCAGATAAAAGAGGATAAATGGCGATTTTGCTGTTCGAAAGGACAGAACTCGCCGATAACGATGAGTTGGAAACGAAGGAGCTGAACAGCAGTTGTAGGCAAAAGTCGGGAACTCGATGTGGTGTTGTAGTAGTAGTAGTAGAACAGTGAGAAGAAATGTGAGAGGATGGACATGCAGCTAAGCAAATGTTTGGTTGACCTCGTGAGGGAGAAATCACAAAAGGCTACCAATGAGGCTAGCAATATGCATCGGCAAACAGTAGACCGGGAGGAGAAGCTTCGATGAGGCTCCGGGAATCGGGTTACCATCCTCACCAAACCCTACCACATTTGATCATCCGGACACGCAGATGTTCACCGGAATGGATCAACCACGTGCATGTGGTTTTGAATCTGTTCGACTGCCATGAAATCACTCGGACCATAAACCTCCGGTGAAACCGTGAACAGTAGCCTCCTGGTCTTCATGTATGTATCGTTAATGCAGATAATCTGCCCACAATAGGCCGCTGGAATTCGGAATAAGCATTTTTTGGGAGTTCGCTCGAAAAAGAAGTCCCTGTCCCATATATTAGTCAACTCATACTGCAACCGTTTGTACTTGAAATCAGTGAACCCCATGAAGGTGTCTATTGTTGGAGAGGAGGACGTGACCGTCTGTGCTGATTTCCGATAGCATCAATTATTCATCCATATGCGCATGAAATCGAGTGCCACCAAAGACGGCCGAAAGTGGCCGTCAGGCGTTGCCGTTGTGGCCCTGGGAATCGACAATTCGCATGGAATCGTCATGCAATAGAAGGCAAACCTCAGTCACCAAATAGTTCCAGAAGCTCATCATTAATGGGAAGGCCTACATATCCAATGCAGTGGTAACGACGCTCTTATGTAAAGTTTTCGTTCCCAAAGACAGATTTTTTTGGTTTTGCAGGTTCACAAGGGGTCTACTCAACTACTGTCGTCACGATTGATCGTCTGAAAGTCATCCCTGACCAATACGATAGGTGTTGGTCTCACCATGTACCATTGTCCTTCCAAGTTGATCAATAAAGTCAGGAAATCTTACACTCTACTCCTCATCCAGAAAATTCAAAATTCATCTGGTCAACACCGTAAACTACGGAAAGCTTGTTTTAGAGAACACGCGAAATTCTAGAGATCATGGATGTCCTGCTTAAAGTCGGGCCCGATAGGAGGAAGGCGTCGATTCACAGGTCGACTAGGAGACGAATGGCACCCTGCCGTTAATGTTCCTTTACCCACTAAAATTATGTCTAACTATCTGGTAGATTTAACTCCTGAACTGAATCAACATCATAGGATAGAATTACAGGATTTTTTCATCAAGACGGACAGATGGACATGGACGTGGACGTTCAATATAGGATTCTTCCCATGAATTCGCATCGGGTTTCCAATATGAGCGGAGGGCGTAGTATGTTTTGCACTTACATGCATCGCTGATTCCATTCACTTTGCTGTCCAGCCAACTAATACTCTACTCCTATTCGGTTGGTCCAATTTGTTTCTGGTGGAAGCTTGGGGATAAGAAGACTGGCGAGGTGCCAGACAGCCGCGACTTTGTTTTAATTAGCTTTTAGCTGCCTGAGGATTTCTTATGTATCAACACCTATCCTAAAATGGTTATACTTGGCGCATTCGTCAGTCTCCAAAGAATTGGGCAAAACCGATCACTTCGGAACTTTTTCTTACTACCATGTTTTCCTAGCGCATAGATTTTATTTAGTACTGGACACCTCCTGGTACGAATGCTCTGTCATGCCATCGAATTTCCAGAGTTATTTCTCCCAGACATCCATATCAGTCCGTAACTTAGTTGTCCTCAATAGCGACGACTAGCAGCCATCCTTACGAAAGACTTTCCTGCTCCCCGCAAATCCGCTGTCTTCGTACAACCCTCAACAACTGCTCGAAATATTGTCCACAGAATTCATTTTCTTTTGCGTTCAGTCAATTTTGTAGACTATAAAATTGAGTGGTTGGTGGAGATGATGTAAAGGCAAGTAGCACACTTCACACACGCATGGTCACAGGTTCGAATTCCACAGCGGTACAAGCCTAGGCCAACTAGGCCTTCCATCCCTCCGGAGTTGGTTAATTGTTACCAGACCGTCTGGGAGGATAAAAGCACTGGTTTGTACAACGAACGCCACTACAGTTCTGAATGGAAGACGAATACGGTGGCGCATACCTCAGACGTTGGGCGTCCTACCTGTTTACAGACCACTGTTGTCCAGGTGTAAGAGCTTCCTCGCCTTGGATCCATGGACGGTTGTATGTCCATAGTGCTGCCTTTAAGAGCAGAAGCTGTAAGCCTGGATAGCAAACTTTTTACTATTACCAACATTTCAATGGTGCCTCAAATGCCACATAGCAGACATGACGATATTTCGCCTCAAACGCCACATAGCAGACATGACGATATTTCAAGTAAGTGCAGCCCATAGCTGGGAAATGGTGCTCCATTTTTCCTAGTCTGTGTTTTCCTCTGTTGATGTTCTTGTGAAAGAACCATTCTTTATCTCTGTCCCGATTCTGTTCAAGACGGACCGTTTTTTACATGTGACAGCTGAGAGCGTTTTACTGTCACTTTTTTGGCGAAATGTCTGGGAAAGTTGATAGGGCAACCGATTGTTCATTCTGCAGACTTTCCCAATGTGTTGGAAATGTTGACGGATAGCCGAACTCG